GGGCATGGACACGGGATAGGTAGTCTGTAGCACTTCGGTTGTGGTGGTGGTCACTGTGAGAGAGGTGTGTGGGAGCCACTTCGGGCAAGGCCGATGATCCGATCTCCCGATAATCTGCGCGGCGATAGCGTCGGAAATGATCAATCATAGGAGCATAGCGCTCACGATAATTTGCCATTCAGACTACATCGTGCTACACATCATGTCTAGTTAGATGGTATTCAGCTCATACAACAAGTGTTTGACATCCTGGATCCCATCATGGTGATACTTTAATTGGAAGTGAGCTTGGCGCGGTCGGGCTTGATCAACCGCTCGGACCAGGCTTGCGCAAGCAAGCGCGGAATGTGCAGCACAGGCCTACTTATGACGAATCAAAGTAAGCCTTGCGCACAGCTTCAAAGAGCCGGCGCAAGTCGGGCCTCATACATCCGGCCCGCGTGTCCGCACGCCACACCACTTCCTGTTTCCCCCGTAAGGTGTACCATGTGAGCACTTCGAAGTCATATAAGGGTAATCGCACATACCACGTCGAAATCATCCCAAGATCACTCGTCCTCATCCACAATGTCATCCACCTCCGAGTCACCCAAGGCAATCGTCTTTGATCTCCTCACTGGGCTGCTGAACAGCTGGACCGCGTGGGACCGCGCTGTCGCGACCGCGGTCAAGTCGTCCGAGACTGGTGACGACCAAGAGGCTGGAAAGGCGGGCCCAGGGCTCGAGTGGCGCAAGCACTATCTCGCGTTGACCTTTGGAACAGGCGCCTATCGACCTTATGAAACTCTCCTTCACGAAGCGGCCGCACTCGCCGGTCTCCCCGCGTCCGCAGCCGACGCGCTGCTGGAGAATTGGGACTCCTGGATCAAACCGTGGCCTGAGACGCCTACGGTGCTCGCTGCCTTGCGCGCGAGAGGATACAAGCTCGCCGTGGTGACGAACTGCAGCGTAGCACTTGGGAGACGTGCTGCTGCGCTCTGCGGGGTCGAGTTCGACGCAATCGTGACGGCCGAGGAGAGCGGCTGGTATAAGCCTGTTCCAGCGGCTTATATGGCGACATTGGGCAGGCTGGGCGTCGAGGTGCATGATGTGTTATTTGTGGCCGGAAGCGCAGGAGACGTGTCTGGTGCGAAAAGAGCTGGGATGCGAGTCGTTTGGCACAACCATGTCGGGCTTTCTCTCGTTGGTGACGCTGTGCCGGACAAGGAGGGAAGAACCTTAAATGAGACGCTGGATGGCGTCCTCTAATCCCTGAGCACGCCGCGTTTAGAGTCATAGCTTCACAGCATCCTAAGAGCTGTTCGAATATAGGCCTGACATGTACTCAGCGGAATACAGTCTGCGTCATCGTCAAAGCTCAGCTACTACGTGTGGCGAAGGTGGCGGTCACATCGAGAGTGAAGCTAGTGAAGACCCGGTGTCCGGCCGCCTGTTGCCGCCTGTTGCCGCGCGTCATTCGATCGGGGTTTCTTCGACGCGACTTCGTTCGCTCCGCCCATCATTCAAGTTGATAAGCATACACACGGCTTTCGCAACGACGTCCTCCCGTGTCTGTGACTCCCTTTCTAATAGTCGTGCGCTCCCTCAGGCGAGGCGCTCAACTTGTTCTACTAGATCCGCCCGGCGGTTACTCTGAATATCATCCTGTTCGAACTCGTGGATCTGTGAAAGCCCAAACCCCGCCTTGTGTTTGCAGGTCACATCTTAGACTTTTCACTACGTGCAAGTGAGCGTGAAATATCTGGGCTACATCATGTTCGCTCCGGTCGCTTGAAGCCTTGAAGCATATGATGTGCAAGAGCTTGCTGTATAGTTCAGTTCGTGGGCTCTTCACATGTGCGTATGTGGGTTGAGCGTTGTATACAATCTAGGGATGTCAAGTTGATGCACGCTCATATCTGAGTGCGTGAAAGCAGAGCATGTCAATCGTGCGAAGATGACCCATTGAGCCAGTGACAACAAGGTGTCAAGCTGGCATGGACGAACGTTATCCTGCCTCCAGGGGCCCCTGGACGAGTCAGCGCAGTCACTTTATCCCCACGCGGAGTATGACGTGATGTTATGTGGCTATCTAGAATCGGACTGGCTCTTGAACGGGGGTACGGCTTAACGTGGACTGACGGCCTGGAGGTTTCCTGTCTCACCCTTCTTTACAGGTCGCTTTCACATACATTGGCTAAGATAGTCACGGCCCATAAGACCGGCATAATGTCAGGTCCGGTTCGCCACCCCCTGTTTCAGTGGATACGATGACAATACACCAATTCCTACCGAAAGATCGGCGAACTCCCCGACGCAGGCGCGTGAATATGAACACCTGCACAGGTTGCTTGCTTTCTCGATCTCCAAGCATATTGGACAAACCATTCATTCATGCTAACGAAACTCAAACCAGTTCTCAACGCAGAAATAGGCCAGCCTTAGGTTGCTCGTCCCTGACTTTGCAGATGAGCGCCTTATCATGAAGGTAGTCGTGCGAACCCCACCTTTCTACCCACGGGTCCCCGAGATCGTAACCGCTCTAACTGTAGTAAGCGGACGTGTCCGAATTGTCTCCGTACACGGCATCGTGTGTGCCACCAGCTGGCTCGTACTTTGCCGCAGTATCGCCACGCTCATCAGTCTTGCCGCCAAGGGCTGCGCCACTCCCAATGTCATAGCTTTCGGCTGTCGAGTCCGTCGCGCCTTCAAGCCGAGCCTGAGAATGCTCCTGGACACGGGTGATGACGAGGATGGTGGTAGACTCGGAGCCCAGGTGTTTCATCAACGCATCCCAATCGTCAAGCAGCTCGTACTGCGCGGATATCGTACCGCCCGAGGCGTTCTCGAGACTGACTTGAAGGGATAGCGCCCCCTGAACTGGTGGAGAAGCCGGCGCCGAACCCCCCTGCGTCAAGTGTTGCAGTCAGCGTAGTCGCACTGAAGTCTTTGCGGTGTGACAAACATTGAGAGCTGGGTCTACGACACGGTCGTCAAGGGCAGGCTTGAGTTGAGTTGTGTCGTTGTCCAACTTCTTCACCAGCGTGAAGGTGCGCGCGTTGGGTTGACTGGTCATCGCGGTCTTCTGAGGTGAAGTGGCACTACGGTTCGTTGCTGTTATAGCTCCATCGCGGTAGAGAGTATCTTATATAGTTCTCGATGGGCCGATATCCCGGCTCATGCTGGCGTAGTTGGAGGATGCACCCGGCGCGATCTGGATACAGCGGTGACCGAATGGATTGGAACAGTCAACCAGATGGATCGTAGCTCAGAAAAGGGTGGCTCCGTTCGAGAGAGGACCCGACATACGTTCCGGGTGGCGCATCTGCCCTTTGCCGTCAACAGATCCTAGGATAGCACAGGTTTACTGAGCGCACCGTCGTGAAGGGAGAAAGACCCCTGAAAATAGAGCTATGGTGATTGTACAGGGTCACCACGGCCTACTTGTGCCCCTAAAGCCAGATCGGTAAGTATCAATTCGCGGAACAACGACCTGCCTGTACACTTGGATCTCATCCTCTGAGGACGAGACGGGGGCAGATCACCTGTATCTGGAACCAGAAGCAGTAATCTGCGCGGGAGATAGAGTATGCGACAGATGGAGAGAGCATAGTATGTACTATCCACGCGAGATATGCCACGACAGATGTTGTACTTGGTCAGTATTGTCTGCGTGAGGTTGACAGCGGGAGTACCCAGGTAGACTTACCATCGGGCCTTGCCGTAGTATGGACGCTGACACATACCAAGATGATCAAAGCATGCTCATGGCTCCACCTACTTCAAGTTCCAGATCCAGGACCCGCAAGATTCAGTTCAAGATCTGGTACACTCGCCGGGATATGCCCCCGTGTCGGTCACACTGTTCGTTATTAGCGCCCCGTGCCACATCCCGCAAAGTCATGTTGAAGGGGTAATGAGAATGCGGATACCATCGCTACGGAAGACAGTAGCAGAGGTTATTCGTGCCGCGCAAAGCCGTCACGAAGGCGCACGAGATCAAGGGCTGCACATCGCCGGTCGCGCATCTTACGCACATAGCCATCTTCGTGACACGTGTTATCTGCGCATGGTGCTGCAGTCCGGATGACAATACATGGTCCAGTCGATACTTTCGCATCTCCCGGGTTCATGTCTCTGGATCCTCTTCCAAACGAGTTATGGAGTATCTCTGGAAGCACAGCTCCAGTCAACGCCGGAATCCAACGGCGGAGATGGACTCGACCCGGACTTAGCTCACGTTCAAGTCACTCCTTTTAATGGGGATTGAGGACATGCGATATGGAGAGCTTATACCATGGATGACTGGAGGCACGTTGCGATACCTAGTAGAGTCCGCCGTATGCATCTGAAGAAAAACCTACTTTGTATGATGTCGAGAAGATTGCCCGTTGAGTATAGGCACGCTAAACCATGAAGGTAGTTATATTTCATGACGTGAGATAAGCACTGGCACATACTGTGAGCCATACGCTCGGCCCTGAAAGCACTACGTGCATGATGCGTCTCACAGAGACATGCTACGTGCCAACCGCAGGAGACGCGGACAAAAGGGGATTGGCAGGCAAACCTAGATTCACCTTTCTCTGTAGTTAGCACGGGCACTGCTTTGGCTCCTGTTATTGTTCCATGAAGAATGGGGAGACATAAGGTCAGACACTTTTGCGTACAGCCCACATGGCGCTTACAATCGTGTAGTGTACTTGCGCAGCCATGCGATACGCATGCTCAGTGACGCGGCGGCTACGCAGAAGGCCTCAAAGTGTTCATCGTTCAAACGTCCAAGCCTCAGCTCCTCGGCACACTAAATTGCGTCCACCCAAGTTCGACAGGGGCGCCATTATCGACATCGAGTTGTAGCGGTTTCGACTGCGAGATACGCATGAGTACTTGGATTTGACACGCCCACGGGAAAGCCTTTGTCAAGGGTGGTGGCGCTCGTAGACAAGATAAGGATGAGTGAAACGATAGCTTTATCGAATGGAGGTCAGCCCGTCGGCATGGACGAGGAGAGCAACGCGGGAGTCCCACGTGGCAGCACTTTATTGGCCGCGCGCCGCGCATGGGCCTCCGGTCACGGCGCTCTCAGCTTGCCGTCACCTTACCCTCAGCCACCATCGTGACCAGCCGCACCTCTAGCTCTCATCCTTACGATGAAACAATGGAAATAGCACTTGCAGCTTGGAATAAATTGAGTCTTTGGTCTCCCAGCTTGACACATCCACCTACTGAAACTCCGGCGCATTCTCGGCACCACTTACTGGCACCCTACCACACGTTGCGTAGCAAGCGGAGCTCATCAGCGGTTCATGAATTCCAGCAATGCCGCTCGACGTCGTAGCTTAGGCTTCCTTTGTCGTACTCTCTTCACGAGAATCACTGTTCCTTCATTTCTTTGCCTTGAGATCATAGCATATCTAATCCCACCTGATCAATGTCGATATGCTTCCCTTGCCAGGCGATCTATATCTGAGTCCCTATCACCAGGACTGTGTTATGATACTACCTACCTCTTCAATAGGAATCATGGATACCCACAGGTCGCTTTCGTCATGACAAGCAAAGGATCGTCGATATAAGGGGTTTCCCGCAGTAGGTGCACCGCTAGATCTTGTATGTCGACCGTGCCTACACTAAAATGCCCAATCGCTGGGTGCATGGTGAATGCTTCCAGACCATAAGACAAGGTCCTTGAACATATCAACGAACTCGGGGTACGCAACAAACATATGCGCATAGTTTTTGCGGATGTTATATGGACGGAACACCCTCCCCTGTTGGTCGCCTTCAAGTATTCTGAGCATGATGGCTTCCATAAGAGGAATGGGTGGATGTGTCTCCCCCATTGTCGTATGAACGGGGTCTAAGGACTGTCGGCTTTCCTTGTGTAGGAAGCCCAAGAAGGGCCGCCAGGACGACTTCCCTTCCATCAGCACCTTCGCAGCCGCGCTCGGAGGGCCGTGGACACCGATGTTGAGGATAAAGTGCAGCAGATAGAGCAACCGGCATCGCACACAATCCTCTCGCCTTGGAATGTGATATATGTCAAATTTGACTGTGTGAGGGAGCCCTCGGAAACGGAGCACACATCCAGGCTCAATCGCGACAGCCTGCGAACCACAACTATACCTCTGGACACTGCCCTTGCCGTTTGGGCTCTTGTCATATTCCGGCGCTACACCCAACATCATGGTCTGGAACACGTATGCAATAAGATAGATGGGAAGGCTGTAATCAGCCTGGGGTTCGGCTCCGGGTTGCGGGTGTAGAATGAGGTCTTTGATAAGTGGGTCAACAGATTGCCATTCAGCAGCAATCATCAGACGTATGTCTCCGGGCTTTAAACAGGTGGCGACTGTTCCTAACCATAGTGCCGCGACTCCGGAGTCATGATCGTCGTACGAGGTCAATATGAGTCCACGAAGAAAATGGCATATGGATTCAAGGTGCTTCACGCAGTCAGGTTCACAAAGCGGGGTGGAGCGTGGGTTGCATAACCTGACAAGATATCTGATCTTTGTGAGCACATCAGTCCTTCGAAGAAGAAGAGTACTGATCTCTCGAGCCTGTCCCGAACAGAGAATGTCTTCAATTGCGTACACCTGCACGCGCTTGCCATCCCGACTGTCCTCCTGGCTGACCCGTTTATATAAGGGAGGAGCCACTAACGGGGCAACGATAATAAAGAATCTCCCCATCTCAAACTCGCTGTTGACGTTCTTCCACATACAGTTGATCACGTTGAAGAAAGTCCTCGAGCTCAACGTGTTCGTCAGACCCTTGAGTACCGTTGCTCTATCGCTCCGCAGCATATCTCGTGAGAGTCGAGTTCGGTGGAGAAGTCGAGGGGTTACTTTCATATGCGCATGATCAATCGCGTTGTCCCAGACGGATGACATGGTAGTGACTGAGCCGCAAAAGGTAGTGAGGAGCAACGTGGCGACAAGTCGTGCAGCTCCTGTGAGCGGTGTGCGATATGGGCATTCTGGGTATGTCAACGGTAGAATCGAGAGGACCACATATGACAGCGCAACAAAGGAAATGCATCCGTTTGCCACGGCACCAAGTACACCAACGCTGAGAGATTTCAATTGTAGGATCAATCCGGCGAAAAACAGCGCAACAGAAATGTGTACGAGCGCCATGATCATATCAATCGCATTCTCCATTCTAAACTTCTCGATGCCTGTAGACAGTAAGGATTGCAAAGGTCCCCGCGCGCTCGGGGTTCCACCCCGCTGCACGTCTTGGGCATACTGTCTGGCCCATTGTTGCATCATGACAGCAAGCAACGCACAAGAGATGGAGACGATAAGAGACAAAAACCACAGTATGTTGATATAGACGTCGGTATCGGACGTAGAGAGGCTATCCGCCCTCTGTGTCACAAGGAGTTCAGCGGTCGAAGTTCCATTTGTGAGCGTGAGCGCAACGAGTTGACGAAGAAGAGCGACAGTTTCACTTCCGCTATCTGCCGTAGCAAGTGTGGAATAGCTGGCAGTGACAAAGCTGGCCACAGTCGAAGAGAACAAGCCCGTCTGTCGTCGGACTGATCAACTTTATGCGCATATGCAACGGGTCGGTCAAGTCACGTACGAAGATCAGGATTCCGTCGGTGTCCACCCTCCACCGCTCCGATCTCTCTCGGTCTTTGCCCTCGGCCTGACTGAGATACAACGTCCAGAATCGATCTCGAGCGCTCTGATAATGTACCTCTGGACGTTAGTCAGTAAAAGTGTGATGATAAGGCCGCGCAATAGTGCCCTGAGATGCCTTCATCCGTACTTTGCGCTGCAGGAGTGCTCATGAGAAGTGTTGCGTCATTGCAAAGAAATATTGCTGACCTGGAGTAGAATTTGCCATCTGAGCTGTAGGGAATAGTTCAAGCACTATCTTGACGGGTGAGGCTGAGAGCGAAGGCGTTTACGAGGCAGACGATAGAAGTACCCAACACGCTGTTCATGCGCCTTGATCATGAGGTCAGGGAGAACACTAGATGTAGGAATCCAACTCCGAGATGAAGGTGCCTTTCGCAATGACGCGCTGAGATGCCAACCCCATAGGCTCACTTTGGAAGCCTGGTTCATGACAAGGATCCCGCTGTAGCACTGGACTCAGAAGATCGTCTTCGTAGACTCCCTTCATGCAGGGCATATGAGGTTTGTGAGACAGGATGGCCGCGATAAGCCCCTCGATAACGAAGAGATGAAGACATGTGGTCGGTATGAAGCGCTTCACGGCGTTATCAGCGTACATTCGGTCTGTGTATGCACTAAGATATCGCGACACGTTGCTTCGGTGAGGTCCGTAGGAACACTCGCTTGAAGCGTAGGCTTCTATGATCACGCACGCCGCCATGTAAATGTGGCCTGATGTCTCGTATATGACTGCAGAGCATCAGGTAACGCGGCATAATAGCGTCGCCAATGCGGACCAGACGCGACCACTACGTGCACGGCTGACTCAGCTTTTTGGGCGCCCCATTCAGGGTATAGGGGCCAGCGCTATGAACTGACGGCATGTTGAACCATGAATCGCACGTGAGGAAGGCGCCGGACGGCCCTTTATACCACAAGGTATGCTGTAGTGTTCACATGTATGACAGCCTGGTAGCGCCCATGAACCAGCTCCCGTGAGCGTGAAGTTGAACGAGATCTGGGAGTGATTGTCTGTCAAGTCAACGTTGAACGTTCCTGCCAACAGGCGTGAGGATATGGGTTGATTGCGATGGGTGATGATAGGTGATGGTCGTCAACAAGAGAGTGACAGAAGCGGCACTGATCGACGCGCGCGGCGGCATGCACACGCGTTTGACGCGCTCCGATTGGCCGCCGGCACCGTCTGGCCGCAGTGTCAGTGTACCCCATGCCCAACATTCGACGTTCGAACGTTCTTCCCGGAACCCTTGGCCGCCTCAACTAGATATCTAGATCTGCGAACCTTACAGCTCTTGCCTGCCAAGAGTCTCATGATCTTGCAATCCGGCGAAGGATGGATAATGGCGGTCGGCGAATGGCCCTCTAACCATCCCAACCCAGATGGTTAACTACTACTACGATCATCGAGTAGGCGCCCCGGGTCGCTACTCTTAGACAAAGAGACAGCCTAAGTCATAGGTCCGTAGCTCTCATTTGAATTCCTCAATAGAAGTCGCTCATAAAAGCTACATGAGGCGGACTGTACGTATACATGAGAAGCGACGTATACCGCCGAATCGTGTTTTGATTATACAATACCGGTGCTGGTACGGTTATCGATCCGAGGCTTGAGCAAGATCGACAGAATGGAGACCTAAAAAGTGAATCCCGCGGGTAGCAGTACTTGGTACGCCCGGACCTACGATGTCCCTCTAGCACGATACACCAGGTTCTTGAGCTTGATCGAAGATAAGTACCCGCGGGCGAACTTTGATGTCTACACTTGTCATGTTGGACGTCCTAGCCTTGTACGATGCAAGGCTGTCCTCGGATGGGCCCTGTAGCCACGACAGCGAACCAGATCAGGACTCGAAAGCCGACTATCTCACCCATTCCAGGACCGGCCAAAGCGGACAGGTTTGGAGGATGGCCCTGACAGGAGCTACGCGCTACCGAGCAGTGTAATAGGGTTCCGACAGATGTATCGGAACTCCGATGAGTGGCACTATTCGCATGATAGTGCCGGTTTCATATCGCTATAGTCGCACGGAATGTGGTTGGTCAATCCGCGGCTGCGTGCGGTGGCTGTATATAGCGTAGAGGCCGGCGCCTTTGTTCCTCGGCATTCAACGCCCGCGACCGTAGCGCCCACTGTTGCATCAAGATGCTTTGAACCGTGCACGTCTATCTGAGACAAGGCGGGGAACACCCGTGTCGTACATGCGATCCCTCGGGCTTTAGAGACGGCGCAAAAGGGCGCGGAAGCCCACGAGGGAGACCAAGGCAGTTTCACAAGATAGATGCGTCACGCCGCCAGTGCTGAACAACGAGATTGATATATGGTGGCGGGAAGCCCTTGTTCATCAACGACAGCTACAGACAGCTGGAGAACTGCTACGACACGGTATGATTGGGACATTCTGCGACAGACCAGCTGGCTGTGTGTTGGCTAGCTCGTGTGGGAGCGGCAGTACAGAGGCAGTTCTTGGTGGTTCACAAGTCGCATCCGGTCTACAAAGTGGTTTAAAGCACACAGCGTCTGCTCTTCTGCGCATACGTATAACCATCTCCAGGTTAGGTCGAGAGGCAAACTTTTGAAGCTACATCCGCGCATCAGCATTCTCCCCTATCAGATACGACCACGAACGAGGCGCACTTGCCGGAGCGTCCGTCTTGAGATCCACGCCGTACACGAGGCGCCACATTTACTGATCTGTAGCACATTATTACCAAGGAACAAGTATCCAGGAGGTAAGTAACAACGTACCGCAATAGACCTCAGGGCTGAGAAACGAGGCGCGCGCAGCGCATTGCGAGGCATATGTTGAGCTGCCCTGCTACATAACAACTGGCGCGCGCCATTGGCGCCACAAGGAAAGCGCGAGAGGAGAGGGTCATCTTGTGAGAGCAAACTACAGACGCAGGTCTCTGACCATCGATGCGATTGTGCACATCGATTTGCACTCCGGCCTCTTCGGGCTGCGAACAAGAAGCACTTCTTCAGCCTCGGCATCGCCTCGTTCCTGAGCAGCAGCCATGGATTTTGGTGAGCGCCTTTCCGGAACAGAGCGCCGTGGATTGCACTTGTCCGGCGGCGAGTGAAGGGTGTAAGGTACCTGCGCGCAGTAGTTGTGCCCTGAATGAATGATGCATATGAGCGAGGTTGGAGGTTTAACTGCAAGGAATACCATCCGAATGCAAGTGCATGTACGACAAGAACAGTGCCCGCACTATCTTCACTTTGACCAGATTTGTCCCTCACGACGATGCCTTCTCTAAGAGGCTCCCCGGTTCTTTTTGTACGCAAGTTCATGAAGATCAAGGTACGTATACGAAAAGTCGCTGGCGCTGAGATCGCGTCGTAAAAATCGAATATACACCGTCCTAAGGTCCGCTCCGGAAGACGCTGGCCAAAAACGGCGAGAAGTCGGATCGTGGATGTGAAACGAGTACATGACGGCGGATCGCAAGTGTTCTGGGCTGATATGACGACGCTATCGATGAAGGTGTATTTGATGGTACGCCCGCGATATTTGGCCTGCACTGAGGACCACTCATACGGAGCGTGCTCCGAAACACCCAGTCATCTTCGTATTTGCCTGTAGAGAATGTTGTGTGAGCGCATCAAGGTCATGTCAAAAGCACTGTGGAGCGTACCTTGTTGAAAAGACCGTTCAATCCCAACGAAAAATACCGTACACCTCTGCTCGTCTTGATTTTCTCCATGCTACTCCACAAGTTCGTGGTCACGACACCAGATGATACTGAGCGCGACGGAAGCAGCCAAGGGACGGGATCGGGATGGTGGCCAAAACTAGCTTGCTTTCGAAACGGAGGCCTTCTCGCAACCTCGTGTTCGTAGCCGTCGAGCCGTCAGAATCTAGACGCATGGACAATGCGATGGCCCGAGGTCTTCACAGACTGGCGCGCCAAGGGCACAACTTGTGTTGGTGCACAATGGCGTGAACTGGGCGCACAGCTGGGCTCTGTGGACTGGGGTTCGGCGGTGTTGTAATGACCGAAGGAAGCGGTTGGAGCAAGCTCGTAACATTAGCGTAGGCTTCCATGGTGGTGAGCATGACGATGTCGTGCGTAGAATAGTTCGTGAGCGCGAGATGCGCGAATGGCGATGTGGGCGTGAATGTTGCGCGAATGAGCAACATTTGGGATGCCGGAGTGGGATACACGGCTGATTTGAGAGGTGTGCCCAGTACGCGTTGAATCCTGTTGCAGGCAGGTGCCAGAGCCCGAGGCGAAACGGACAGCGGGCGATGTGAAAGCATTCGTCCACCCAACATGTAAGCGCCGGCGCCGGCACTTGTGTGGTGAACAAGTAGTCAGCCGTTGTCAGCTCCCGGCGCCCCGTATACGTGACTATCGATGGCATGGCGCCACTCGGCGAGGGCCAATACAGGTGTGCGGAGCAGCGTATACGGCTGTAGTCTCGAAGAGCGTCATGGTGTGAACGAGGTGCAGGTGGTGGTTGCCAGTTGAGAATGAACGGATCGTGACAGCGATCAGAACGTGGGCATCTCGCAGTTGAGTCTATCATCCATCTGGAGACTCTGTTTGCATACTGGTATATGATTCTACAAGATTGAGGAGAACTACAAGTCCATCGTACACTGGGAACATGGTAACGTGGAGACAAGACAAGATATTTGCGGTAGCGGTCGTACAGCGTCGAAGAGTATATCAACGAAGGGAATGGTGAGATTGTACTGTACTTGGTTGTACGCAAGAACGATGAGCGGAGAGAGTAAGGCTAGTGGTTGTGAGGACTGTGGGGGAGAGTCTGATAGGTACGGGGATGAATGAGCGGAAAATCAATGTGTATATCAGACACCAAGGCGCTGGTAAGGAGGCGGGATGCAAGAGGCAGGGATCGTTCAACTCGAATGTTCATGACGATGATGAGAAGGATTGCAAGCGGTGACACGAATGTAGATTATAAACGAGTCTTCCATTGGATGAAGGGGATGTCCGTACCAAAACAAGTGCTATTGGGCGGGGCGTCTGTGACTGAGATGAACCGGGCGTGATCGGTAGACCGTAACTCGTGAAAAGGCTCGAGGCGATCACTCCAGTCAGATGCGAGACCTGCGTTGATAACCGTAGGGTTCGCGAGGCTGTGATACATAGCATATTGGCCGTAGGCACCGACGTATGGGCCAGGCAGGGCTGCCGGCGGCTCGCCGAAGACGCCGAGAAGTCCGTCAAAAGGAGTGGACGATACGCCGGATGAGCCATTCGATATGGCAGATGAGGAGCTGAAGTCGGGCATAGCGGCAGATTCGTAGTGCGTGGTGGTATTGATGGGGAGGAATGTATCATTTGTTGGTGCGTCAGCGCCCGTTCTAGAAAAGACGGAAGGTTCTTCCACGAAGGGAATTTCCGCGCCACACGTGTTGGTGTGACCAAGAGTGATCCCGGGGTAGTCCAAGCTGGTCGTTGCGGACGATGATGAAGCGCTAGTATGGAAGCCGCAGAGGGTCGGAGCGAATGGGATCCACTGCGTCTAGACAAGATTCAGCGCCTTACTCACATCGGGGTGATGCGCCAGAGAAACACAACGCTCACATTCGACATGGTCACTGGCGCAATTCTCGATCCGTCAGACGCCGATTCTTTCGCCTGCGTCAATGAGCAATGTACTAAGAGACTGTAAGAGCAGGCTTACTACGTGATCTGTGTTCGCGATGGCTCCCGATGGTGCTTCACCATCCAGGCTGGCGTTGTGCACGATGCGGCTCTCTTGAAAGTAATTATCAGCCCCCGTCCCTGACCGAACTGCTGACGTCGAACTTGTTACATTCGTATCTGTCATGAAAACATCAGAGCTCAATTAGGAGTCGGTATATTCAGCCGACGTGCGTAATACGCGCCTTGAGACAGCAGAGAGCGCATAGTCTCCGGTGTCGAGATGCTCCAGCAGTCCGCCGTGGCGCGCTGTTGTCGTCGTTTGGGCCTCCTTCTTTTAGGGCCCGCCAGTGGGACAAGGATCTTGTCCTGCAGCTGGAAAGTATGGACGTAGGGACTGATATGGCGATTCTTCTTCTGACTGCTTGGGCACGTTAGATGAATAGAGGCCAAGATAAAAACAGCCGCACTTTGACCCAATACTTGTTTGGGTTGCCATGACGAGTTGATTGCGGCGTAAACGTAGATTACGGTAAATGAGTGTGATGGAGGCAGTGTCTGTTTAGCGGTACCAGTGAAGGATGTCAGAGACGAGGAAGGAACGAAGGAAAAGAGCGTGGGGAGAGATAAGACAGAATCTCGATCATAAAGGAGCGTCGAGTGGGAACCTGAGAGCTTAGTCTTGGTGCCTCTAATTTATAGCGAGATGTCAGAGTAAGGCTGGAGGGAGTGGCTGGAAATGGACAGCACCTATCTGAGCCTGAGGCTGTTTGTAGAAGTGCCCGTGACGCGAGCTCAATCTTGCGAGTAGCTTCTTGCCAGCGTGATCGTCCAAAAGAGCAACTCCATGGCTGGGCCAGATGATAGTAGACAGATCCTTCATAGATGCTGTCACCCGACTCGGGGGAGCTGCGATTCATGGAAGGGCACTTGACATTTCTCCAACGAGGACCGCCAGACTCACGCCACGACGCTCTTGCCCGGTCTATACTATCCATCCTGCGTCTGAGCCCAATTGAGCAAGGGATCACGTCTATTGAGATAGCAATGCGATTACGCACGGGACGTCCAGTGGTATACCAACGAGTCCGCCCAGTGCGCCGCGCGGGTCGAAGTTTGCGGACCAAGATCCTTTCGCTACATGTCCCCGACGCTGCACGGCTGTCGTCGCTCTGATGCACGTTGTATCACTGAGGAAAGAGCGGTACCAGACTCGCTCGCTGCAGATCAGCGTAGCCGCTACCGTCGACCTAGCACATTAGCGAGCAGCGTGCTCGTTACATCTGCCTTTAACCATATTCGGAGACGCTTCGACCCCAAACCGGTATATCCGCCTTATCGTCACATCATATTGGAGTGCTAGAGGCCTAGTCCCATAACGTCATGCATCGATGGGTGCATACGAGACGTAGACGAAGTAGCGTTGAGAGGACAGACGCTAGACATCCAAGTGTCCAATGGGAGCAGCAGGTGAGCTGTCGAGCCGAACGCAAAGTACTCTGGCAGCGAAGCATCAGCGCTCAGCATGCGACGCTTCCCAGTGCTGGTTGTTATGAGCATGGGTGAGTGGGACAAGGATGCATAGGCGACGTGAAGGAGGAAGAGGGCCGGGACACGTCGCGGCACCAGGCCGCGGCGCGTCGCATATTACGTAAGCGGTGATCAGGCCCTGCGTGAAGCATCGGCGTTAGGCTTCGGCTCTATGCGAGACTCGAGTCAGTGGCGGGCGCGATGGGTATTGGGATCCCGGTGAATTTCAGGGAGTCCACTAATGACGTTGGTCTGTCTGTTGATATATATGCATCATGCATCCGGCTGGCATGTTGGGCAAGTTCTGCATCTGCGGATTGTGAAATAGAATATGAACTCCTTAGGATAACATGAAGAACAAGAGGGGTGGTGTAAGTACTGGGTAAGGCGAGCAAGATGCGCGTATTGTGCGGCCAGGCAAGTATGGTCAGGTGAGCAGAGTGGCACGGGGAACATGTATAGTCAGCTAATGTTTCAGAGGAAGGGGAGTCTTCCGTGAGAAGAGTGATATCAGATACTCGAACGTCTGTGTTCTCGGCTGCAATAAACAGAGGTCATGACTGTGCAAGCACTGGTCGTAATTTGGCTACTACAAACGCACGAATGCATACAAGACAAAACCTTGTCCGTGTGAAGCAGGAGGAAATGCAGGCGGTCGAAAACAAGAGGAGGGCGCGAATGATCGGTACGACGTGAATATGCACAAGCCATTGCCACCAGTTGTGAGAGAGGAATGGTACGGGCTCCGTCCAGCAGAGCCCTTGCGTGTCCCTTGATCATTAAGGAAGAATGTCAGCTTAGGCTTCGTCGGTAGGTGTCAGAAATGTACCTCAAAAGAGACCCTCGTCGGTGACCTCGTGCATTTCGCCCTCCAACTCAATGGCACCAAGCTCAGCCTGAGCTAGCGCCATGTTAATTATGTCCTCGGGACCGTACGGGAGTCGATCCCAGGCCAGATTGATGTCGTTAACGAGATTGGCCCAGAACGCGTCGTTGGTAAGCGGCTGCCCTTCATGTTCCAGCGAAGTTGTCGCAAGCTCGGACGCATCGAAGCCACCACCGACGTCCAGAGACGTAGAGGACCCTCCGATGTCTGTGACGCCCATGTCGGAAGAAGCGGGGGCGGCAGGGTCAGCAGAGATGCCGGTCGCGCGATCAGTACCATTCATGGGCAGGGCTTCGTCTCGGATTAGAAGACCCTCCAAGTTAAACGATGCTAAAGGAAGGACCATTGCGTCAGTTTCTGGAGCGAGTGCCAGACAACGAGTGCAATAGCGCTCGTACGGCAATGCGTACCGAGTAGACCTCGAGAAGTCGGGTTCGGGTCGTGTACAGCGGGGAGAGTTGGGCTCGTTTGTGCATCTATGGCCGTGCTTGTGTCACCAAAGAGCATCGCGAGGCCTTCGGCGAAAGTCGAGGGTATCTCGTCGAAGTTGTATGATGAGCGATCGGACGTGTGCGGAAAGTTCTCGATATTCATGCGCGACAGATCGTCCTGCGTACGTTGACTCGCTCAGTACCATAATTAAGTGTACATCGGTGACGCGCACCTCAAGATTCGACGGCAACCCCAGGTTGCCAAAGCCCTTAAAGTGAAAATGAGCTCCCACGAGATTCATTGTCTGCACCTATATCGTTAAGATCAAAGTCGCATGTCCTTGCGAGGTTGAGCGTACTGTCTCTTCTATGTCCTGCATGTTCCCAGCTGGAATAGGGTCTGCGGACGCCTGGATGGTGAGGCGACGTATCGAAGCATCAGAGTCGGGTGCGCGCATGCGTGCAACAGGCCGGTACGGGTTGGAAGAGCGCTGCCTGCCTTGACGCCTAAGAGTAGAGGGTTCTTCCACAGGAGTATACCAGCGGCCGGTGTCGTCGCCGGGCTGACTGCGTGCACGCTGCTCTGCTTCAGAAGGCGATAGCTCGCGGAAACCGTCAAGTAGAAAGACTTGGGGGGCCCTGCAAGATTCTGGTCAGAGTTAGTCAACGCTTATCCAAGCGTGCGCACCAAGGGGCGGGCTTAGCCCTAGCGGCCCTCGACGACTTCTTGTGCGAGCGAGTCTTGGAAGCGGTCTGAATGCGCCCCATGGGAAGAAACGCGTATGAGTAGCTGGAAGATGATGCTGCTTGAGGTCACTCACTACACTCTTCGTTATAAACTGCGTTGATCTTTCGTTATGGCCATAAGGTCAAAAGGGATAGACCGCAAGTAGACGAGGACATGGACATTCAGAGCGGCGAGCGCGACCAAAGACAGATTCCAGTTTGGTCGAAACGGAAATAGACAAGATCGTGGTCGACTTGAGGACGTGTTGATATCGTTGAGCTGTATCTGAGGATCGCGTATCAGCATCATACCGTTAAAATGAAAGAGGAACCTACACGGCCCAAAAGGATATCCGATTTAGGAGGCGCTCATCCATACAGGCTTGCGTAGCCACGAGCCGCCACGAGGCTGCTGAGCGTGCCACGCGACTTGCCAGTGGTGTCATTGTCGCCGACTCAACCGCCAGCTCCTCTCAGAGAGACCATGTCTTGAGCTGAGTAGCCCGCGTCCGGAATGAAGAGATGCAGCAGTGGTGGAGGTAAGAGGTAACCTGCCGCAGGGCCAACATTGACGCGTTCAGGCTTGCCTCTCATTACCATCATTCCACTACGCTTTCCCCCGCGTCGCGCCTTCCATCCGTATACACCGCGTGAAGACGTTCGAGACTAAGCAGTGCCGCGTTCAGCGCTTTGCAGCCAGCGAGCCATCGAACCATATGTCCCAGTATCCTGAGAGCCAAAGCGCTTGCTGCGGTTGCTTGGTCGGCCCGGGGAACCGGGCTTGTTGCCATGACAGACGAAGACGCGCGACGCGTGCTTGCTCCTGTAGACTCTCTCCTTCGGAAAAGATGAAGAAACAAGCAGTATATTGTACAGGTCTCAAGTGATGTGACGCGAGTCGCATACGTTAAACTAGTTGGCGACTTTCCGCCTCTCCCTCAACCGGCAAGATCCGACAGCCGACTGCCCGGGCACTCACGCCGAGTCCCTGTTCCCTTTACCGCGTGCTCTCTCCTCTCCCTCTCCTCTCCCAAACGTACACTACCACTACTAGTACATCAAAACCTAAGGATCTCCAATGCATACATTGTCTATAGTCCAAAAGAACACTAGCAAAACGAGCATGAGACGTACATCATGGAATGTTCGAATATGCCATATCAGTCCATTCGCCAGTCCGCAAGTCCAAATAGCCAGTCCGCAGCCATGTACAGTGTGTGTCCAGAAGTGCAGTCCCACTGTCTGTAGGGAATGTGAGCCCAGAACGATTACTACGCCACCCGGAATGTAGCTCCATCCTCAGTACCTCGGCGGTACTGCAGAGTATGTCGTCGCGTAGAGGGAACTCGTGTTGAAGCTGGGGTGCGACGACGAAGACCCGTACTGAACGTGGTCCATGGTGTAGCCGATATTGTACATGGCCTCATCGCCCATAGAGAGCGGGGGACCGGACGAGTATCTGGAAAGAACCGGACTCGTCATGGGCTGTGTAGCCCCTGTTGGACGCCCATCCCTGGGCCACACAGGACACCCAGTCTCTGCATCAGAGAGCATGACGCCAGACACTCCGGAGGGATGTACGCCTGGGAACGCTCGAGCCGTAGATATCGTGGGAGGGAGGACAGGTTGT